ACTTAAAATAAAAGAGATCATTGGTTTGAGATGCCAAAACATAAAATAAAATATGAATGCAGAATTGATCAATAGTAGAGTAACATAGAGATTAACGGATGTTGTTTAATATGAGATGAATATGTTGTTAGGGTTAAATTTCACCAAGTTCCCTCTCATGTATATAATAATTCCTCTTTATGCATTAATGTTAACGTCACTCACTAAAGTACTTAGAACCCAATCCCTTGGCTCAATAAGTCTATCTTAATTCCTAGTTCGTGCAATTCTTAGCGTTCCTAGAAAATTAAGTCTGAAGATCAAGAGCTTAAGACGACCAAGTACTCATACTCTCATCCCTGAGAAATATTTGAATAAATTTAATATCTTTAACATAAAACATTAAAGTTTAATATTCCAATTTGTTTTTAACTTTTTTTTGTTAGGATAAAATTTCCTTGATACTTTTTAATTAAAAAAAGTAAAATTATGTAATTATTATTAACAAAAGTTTGTATGAAAAGATTATACAAATTATTTAAATAAAATTCTAAATATAGTTAAAATTAGTACAAAAACACTTGTATGAACTTTTTATTACTAGTTAAAACTTATTAAAAGTTAAAATAGATGAAATAAATTGAATAAATAGGAGGTAAGAGACATAATTCTATAATTTGAATAAATTTTAACCAAAAAAAGTTCAACTGATGAGAGAGTATGGTGTAAGATAAGATATGAGTAACATTTCTTGTGTGGCCTTTTTGTTATGTATAGCAATTATAAATTGCTCGTACGTAAGCACTAAGTACACACTAAAAAGCACCAAAAGTTGGTAATGGTCACAGGCATTAGGTGGAGGAAACAAAAGCCGAGCTCTAGGGTCAAAATACATTCTCCAAGCAACAAGGTATAGCAAAGGTGTCAGTCGAAAAGCTTGAGTTATAGGCCTCGGTTTTTGGTGATAACCGAGTTAGTACCTCTGTCTCTCAAAACGTGACAGCTGAAAGAGGGTTAATACCTTCTGTTAGCCTTAAAAATCAAAGCAGTATGGGTTTTCGGTTGTGGATATCTGGAAACCGAGGCATATAGAGTGGTCAGAATAGAATTACAGGATTGTCATTGCGTTTTGATACGCTTCGGTTTGGGTGAAACCGAAGTGTAATATGCGAGTTTGAATTTTTTTTACTAGTGCATATTAGTATTTAGCACTTGTTGCATGTTTTGTTTACTCATCTATGCTTGAAGCTATTTTTTATGTAAAGAAGAAAACAAAAACATGTCATCACTAGTGCAAAAAAGACCTTTAACGTCATCATTTAGACGTCTGACCCTCGAATATCCAACGTAAAAAATGACCGGTGGCATTTTTCGTAAATAAAACAACTATTTAGACGTCGGTTGTAGAAGGGCCCGACGTCTAAATACTCATATATGTTGGCTCCCCCGAATAGACGCCAAAACTAAACGAAAAAGTAAAAAAAAATAATTTTTTATTCTATTTAGACGTCTGTTATGGAGGGAACCGACTTATGAAGCACTTTAGACGTTTGTTAATTGGGGGAACCGACATCTAAACCCTAAATCCAGAAATTTAAAAAGTCACTTTTTGACTCCATTTAGACGTTTGATCCCGCCACTCCGACTTCTGAAGCACTTTAGACGTCTATTAATTAGGGAACCGACGTCTAAACCCTAAATCCAGAAATTTAAAAAGTCACTTTTTGGCTCCATTTAGATGTATGATCCCGCCAATCTGACTTTTGAAGCACTTTAGACATCTGTTAATTGGGGAACCGACGTCTAAACCCTAAATCCAGAAATTTTGAAAAGTCACTTTTTGACTCTATTTAGACGTCTGATACCGCCACTCCTACTTCTAAAGCACTTTAGACGTCTGTTAATTGGGGGAACCGACGTCTAAATTTTGGCATTAAAACACCGTGAACGCGAGACAGCCGTTACGCACACTTATTGTTCATCATCTTCGTCGCGTTTTCTCTCTACGGGTTACGTTTTTCAAGTTCATTTTCTCACTTTTGCACCGTTTTAAATTAATTTTACTCCGATTACATCACTCTTTGATGCATTATCTTTCATTTGAACCGATTAAAATGCATTTTCGTTGGGTTTTGGTGCAGTTATTCTCGTGTCTTTAGGCGGCGTTCTATGGCGGCGATTTCTTGCGTTTTGTACTCCTCCAATTCCCTCCACTACGTTTTTGAAACCATCCAATAAAAAAAATGTACAATACATTCTCTTCAACTAAAATATAAAGTTGTAAACTCGAAGCACCATGAGTCAGGAGCAACCTCAGAGACGTCTAACCTGTATGGATCGGACGTCTATATAAACGTCAGACCTATATAAGTCCGACGTCTATAAAGACGTCTGACCTAAGGGTCCGACGTCTCATTAACGTCACCCATATAGACATTGGACAGAGATCAGACGTTAAAAGCCCAAAATAATAGACGTCTAAAGTCTTTTTTGCACTAGTGCATGTTGTTTGATCTTGAGATAGAAAGGATAGCAAGGTGAAATAACAGCAAAATCAAGAAGCACAAGCAGCACATGAAAACACAACAACAACAACAACAAACATATTCAAATTTTGTTCTGCACTGTCATACACCAGACCAAATTGCTGAAAGAACCAATAATAGGATATTGCTAGGTGATTACACACATCTTACAAGGACTACACCACTTTTATAGCATTGTAAAACCTGCTAAAGGCATGGAGATGAAGCCAACACTACTTTCTTTGATCACAACAAATCAGTTCTATCAATTTTATATCTATCAATTTTATATATATGCAGAAAATTAGACATTTCAATTAATTCAAAATATAAATTAACTTTGTTTTATTCCAACTATAATTCAAGCTGAATAAATTTAAATTACCTTAACTCAATAATTAACTTTAATTGTCTAATAAAAGGTAAACATGAGAATATAAATTTATTGTATTTCTACTCTATTCAAACATATATGGGATTCAATATAAAGATGTTATTCAACTATTTATTAACTTTTCAAACAAATTGAAAGTAAAGATGCCTTAATTCTTGTGTTTTATAATTTAGGACTGATTTGTATAACTACGTTATAATATCTTAAATTTATTACAATTTTGTCACCCGGTCAACCTATTATAACGAATTATTTTCATCTATCATAATAGGTATCGTTATAGAATGTTATTTTCTACTAGTGTTGATTTAAAAATTCATCATATCACTATGATCTAAATTAGTAGGAAGTGATCTAATTAATTTAGATTTCATGTGTATGTTCAAAACTCAAGCTTAGATCTGCATACAAACCTACCAAAAGAAGAGTCAAGTCAAGATATTAGAGAAGAGAAAATCTTACCCTGATTAAAATTAGCCTTCACACATCCTTGGCTACGTATTTCTGTACTTTGCTTTCTGTTTTTAACTCTGAACTTATTCTATATATTCCTTTCCATATATTATTTTGAATTTTTAAGATGTCTTTATTTGAAATGATTACTTTTCTTTTTTAGTTTTAGTAAATATTTAATCTCTATAAGTTTAAAATGGTGGTCAAAACGCTGTGTTATATATATAAAATTTTCTAAAAAGTGATTTATAAAATCGAAAACAAGGCACTCGTCAAAATGATGAAACTTTCCCGGGGCAAATATATGAAATGTAATTAACTAAAAAATATGTCAGAGCGAAGTTGGTACGATAAGAAAAATATTGAGTGAGTGAATTATTAATAAAATGTATGATAATTTATATTTCATTACAAGCACAATGCTTATTGACGTTTTTAATGTAATTAAAAGTAAAAAATCAAACAATACAAACATGAACACCAGTTTATCAGCATGCTTGGGCAAGTGAATTTGAAGAAACCATTGCCTTGCCCAAGCATTAACAAGCTCAAAGGCGGAGTTCGGCAAAGAGGATGGGTTTCAAGTGCCTGAAAATTGAAAAATAAAATACCAAGAATGTTAGTTTTTCGAAATAGGTACATTAAAATAAATAAACTTCTTATTCTTATTCACTAAACAAATACAGTTGATATGTTTAAAATTTCAAGTATTAAGAACAGTAATCAGGTTAATAATAATAATAAAAAAACTTTAGATAAAAAACATGATTTCATTGTAACAAGGGAAACCCTTTTTTTTTTCATAAGACTATCAAGTATTGAACATCAATGATTTTATTTTTATTTTATTTTGTACTCATGCAAACTTTTCAAAATTTGCAAAAGGTTGCCCAGGACATTATAAAAAAGATTAAAGTAAATACACATTAAATTGACTCAGCATTCAAAAGTCACGGTTTAGTTAACGAGCTAATTTTTTTCTTTATCGTATAAAAGAAAAATAAATAATATAAAATATATAAGAACACTTGGATGATCTAATCCATATAGAATAGAAAGTAAAACAAGTTACCATATTTCCTAATAAATCTTATGTCTTTGACATCATTAGTTTCAAAAACAACTCATTATATTGAATTGTAAAAATTGTATGCTAATGTGCGTATGATATACAGAGATATAGGAAAATTATATACAAAACTTATGACATTCTTACCTATATAATATAGAAAAATTATACAGAGATATAGCAAAATTATATGCATCTCATAATATTTTTACCTGTTAATCTTTATTAAGCTTAAATACTCTAGCAAAGAATGCTATTTTGAGATAAATATAGTCTTCTGAGTTGTTCAAGAAATTGATATAGGCACGTCGCCAAGAACGTTTGAATAAGATTGATCCAAATACCATCCCCAAGCTTACCACAAATCCAAATGTCATACTTACAAATAAATCATTATTGAAAGGCGAATATTCATCTATATGAACTTCAACATTTGGTCCTTGTGTTGATCCATTCTCAAAACACAATTTCTCAAGTGGTGATCCACAAAGATCGAGATTATCTTCATAACTGGATGTACTAAAACTTTGTAATTGTGTGCATGTTGGAATTTTTCCTGTTAAATGATTGTGGGACAAATCTAGCACACCAAGTCCATAAATTTGAGTAAGACTTGGAGAATTAAACCAACAAGTCGGTTTCTTGATAAATCAAGTGAATCAAGTGATGTTAACTTTCCAATGTTTGGAGGAATTTCTCCAGTCAAATTGTTTCTTGATAAGTTCAATGAAATCAATGCAGATAATGTCTCTATTTCTACAGGAATTTCTTCTGAGAAATGATTGCTTGAGAGATCAATTGATTTTAAAAGTGACAAACCTTCATCCATGAACATTTGTTTGGAACCTTTCCATGTCAACAATGCATTCAAATAATATGGCCTGTCAAGTTTGTAAAAGCCATGGTTGATCACATAGCTATGATCTCCAAAATGAATTTGTTCTATATTGGCCATTGAAGTAAGGTTTTTTATGCATTTAGGAATGTTTCCAGATAAGTTGTTTATTGAGAGATCCAAGACTCGAATGTTTCTTAGACAACAAACTTCTAAAGGTAAACTTCCCATGAATTGATTTTTTCTCAAACTTAAAATTTGCAATTCTTCTTTTGTCCCAATCCAATCAGGGATAGATCCTGATAATTTGTTGTCTGACATATCAAGCATTACTAGCATTGTGCAATTTCTCAAGGTGAAAGGGATTCTTTCTATTAAGTTGTTGTTTCTCAATAACAATGCTTGAAGTTCAACAAGCGATCCCATTGAAGTAGGAATTTTTCCTGAAAAGTTATTGTGAGTCAAATCCAAATAAACTAATGAGTTCAATTGTCTCCAACAATCTGGGATATGTCCAAATAACTGATTGTATGAAAGGTCTAAATATAATAAACTTTGGCTGGTACCATCTCCACACAAAATAGAATGAGAATCTGAGAATTTATTTTTTGATAAATCAAGAATTTGAGAATTCCGTAGAAATGGAGGAATAGAACCTTCAAATTGATTTGATTGAAGGGACATGGACCTAGAAACATACTTTGATGAAACATTTGAAATTATACCTTGTAGATTGTTGTATGAAATATTCATTGTCATCACTTTTTGTAGTGGTAATTTAGCCCAAAACCATTTAGGAACAATATCTGATATTGCAGCATTTGAAATGTCAATATAAAAAAAGTTATTTTGTGTCTGCAACCATTTCGGAAATGTTGGACCTAATTTGCAAGATCTCAACTTTATGGTGAACAACTGAAAAAGTGGAACCCAATTTTGGGTAAATGTCAAGGCCAAATAATTATCTGATAAATCTAATACATGTAACTTAGACATGTTAGTGAAATGGTAGTCACTAAGCACACCTTTTAAAGAATTTGAATGCACATGGAGTTCCTCCAAATGAGGTGGAAATTGAATATATTTAGGAATCTCTCCATTTAGCTTATTGCCATAAAGATATAATCTTTTTAAAGATGTGAATGTTGAGAAGTCAGGTAGTGTGCCTTTTATTTGATTTATATACAGACATAATTCTTGCAATGAATATCTAGCACATCCAGACAAATGAGCAATTATCATTGGAAGCTCATCACTCAAGCTATTAGCACCCATGTTGAATGAGCGCAAAGCACATGCATTTCCAAATGATTTTGGAATTCCACCTTTAAAGGAATTTGCGCTAATTGACAAACGCTCCAAAGTAGATGGTAACTTCACACCTTCAGATATCGTTCCACTTAACCAATTTCCATCAAGAAACAATGTTTTCAATGAAGAGAATACTGAAATGTCAGACAAAGTGCCGGTGATGTGATTTGATGACAGATCCAATTCTTGCAATGAGTGTCTAACGCAACCACTGGACAAATTACTGAGAATGGATGAAAGACCTTCTATCAAATTGTTTGAATATAGGTTTAAAGAATGTAAGGTGCATATGTTCATGAAGTATATCAAATCCCTGGCCTTGAAATAATTAGAGGAGATGTCAAGATGCCTAAGCAAATTCATGGCCATGCCAAAATCACTTGATGTGAAACCCTCCAAGTGGTTCTCACTAAGGTCAAGGTCAACAAGGTTGGAAGTGACGTTTGACACCCACTCGAATACCATTGGTGACGTGAAGGTGTTCTGAGAAAGATGAAGGACAGAGAGAGTAGGGAAATTGAACTTGGAATGTTTGGATGACAGAATGAAATGATCGGAAAGGCTACAATCAACTAAACTTAGTTCTCTTAGTTCAGGTAGCTCCGCAATCACTTGCAACCAAGTATGAGAACGATTTAGATTTGATACAGAGTCCATGTAAAGATGTGTTAAAGAAAGGAGATTTGAGAGCCACTGACCTTCATGAGATAAATTAATATCATATCCTCCAAGATATAGCTCATGCAACCGAGAGAGATTTCCAAGTTGTGGTGGTATATTTCCTTCAAAAGCATTGTCACTGAGATCAAGATGTTGCAACTGGAAGAGATTTCCAAGTTGTGGTGGTATATTTCCTTCAACAGCATTGTCACTGAGATCAAAATGCTGCAACCGGGATAGATTTCCAAGCTGACGAGGGATTGAACCGTTCAGATGATTATTAGCAAGATTTAAGTATTTCAAACGAGAAAGAGAGCCTAACTCAGTTGGAATTTCTCCACCAAAAGCAGATGAAGAGAGATCAAGGTATTTCAAGTTTCTAAGAGAACCAAGAAACTCTGGAATTTTCTCATTGCGAAAATAATTGGAACTGAGATTCAAATACTCTAATTGTGGCAACTCCATTAACGAGTCGTGTATCTCTCCGCTTATATAACCTCCGCTTATATAAGCTGTCTGAATAAAATTTGGATATTTACCAGGAAGGTCGAGGCTTAGGATGTGGGCAGTAAGGTTGCTGCAGCGAATTCCCTGCCACTGGCAGCAGTGGGGAGTGGTCCAAGAGGATAGCATGCCGTAGTGATCGACAATGGCAGCCTTGAATTGAAGGAGTGCTTCCCTCTCCTTTCGAAGGCATCTGATTTGGTGCTGTCCATGAACAACCTGCAACACCACACATACCATAAACATCATCGATCTTAAACCAACCGGATTCATCATTGACGTTGCTGTCGGTGTTATCATCTCAGAGAAGAACTTTGATGGATGATAAAATGCACTGAGTATTCAAGCTAGATTAGTGTCGGTGAATTCAGCACTAACCATATATATATATATATATATATATATATATATATATACCCGTATATATAACATTCAATATTGCATTCACTGATCATAAATGCCTTTTTTTTTAATTCTTTTTTTGAATTCATAGTGTTCTCATAGCAACTACTCTCAGTCAAATCGTTTCGAATGTTTTCTCCAAGTCATCCCTCTCTCTCAATTTTCTTTGATAAATTTTTTTAACATTAACGCAAAGTCAGACACCTGTAGGTTAATCCTTTTTAGGTTTAAATCCTTATTTGATCTTCATATTTGTGTTTCAATCTCAAATGGGTCATCATGTTATTTTCCGTCTCAATTCGGTTTTTAAACTTGTTAAAATGAGTCAATTAAGCTCTCTTTGTTAATTTATCAATAACGCTGTTTGTCTTTGCTGATGTGTAATCTGTTTTAGTTGACGAGGCATTGTTTATTAAATTTGATTGGTGTGAATAGATTGCCACGTGTGATGTTGTTAGAATCAAAACTTAATATTTAGAGATACCCTCATTTCAAAAGTGTTTAACATCTCCGTTTTCGTTAGGAAGAATTGTGGAAGCACTGTTGGAGTGACGAAATGCCTGGTTCTTCTTCTTCTTGCAAATGCACGAGTTGGGGCTTTGAACATAGCTCTGCTAGTGGGAGCAGGTTGGGTGTAAAACCCAGTTGCTTTTGTGGTCGGCCTGCAGTCTTTCGCGTTGCCAGAACCCCTCAAAACAAGGGCAAAAGATTCTGGGGTTGCCCTAACTTCAAGGTGAGTTTAATGGAAGCATTTTTGTGAGTTATTGTATGGTTTTGATTTTCCACAGGGTGAGAGTTTTGATTTCGTTGACGAAGGAGTGTGTTTTGTTGTTGCATAGGTTGGGAGTGAAGATTTCGTTAGATGTAACTTTTTTGAGTGGTGTAGTGAAGAAGTAATTGATTCTCGAAATGTGGTGAATTTAGAAGACAGTAGTGCAAGTGCAAGGAATGAAGAAGTGGGTAGAAGTTTGAAGAAGATGGAACAAAGTGTGATGAAATGGAAGAAAGAGATGTTGAAAAGCTGAGAATTGGGTGTTTGGAGAAAAGTGTAGTTATTTTGGAGAAAAGGATTAAGCTTTTACTGGGATGATGTTTGTTACATGTGTTTGTAATGTAATTGTGATATCAATGTTGATGAAACTAGGTTGATGAAAGTACGATGAAAGTAGGTTTATATGAATGTAATGTGATCTTTTGGAAGGATGTTTGGAATGAAATGTTGTTGTCTGTCTGTTTTAAATATAAAGTTGACTTCTTAATACTGTCTTATTTGCTTAATGAAAGTAACATCAGAAAGCAACTTTGTTAAACATCAAAAACATTTGCTGACAACATGAATAAAAAGTGGATTTCATTATCATTTAAGAAAAAAACCTGACATCAACTTTGTCTTACTCAGTGCATGAGATAACAAAATAAACCTGATATTAACATTACAAAAGAAACCTGATATCATTACTTCATCAATCTTACTCAGTCAATAACATAAGAAAATAAAGCTGATATTACTTCATCAATAGAAATTACACCAACTATGTCTTCAAGAAGTACACATAGACCAAAACAAAAGTGTTACTACATTGTCTTCATCACTAAATATGTCTTGAGCAATACACATTANGTTGAGTCCAAGAAATAATTGTTTTTCCAATCATGCACTGAGATAAATGTTTTTAATTCTACATGCATTGATCTTTCAATTTCTAATTAGGTGGGTGAATCTAAGTATATATTTGAAGCCAAAACAATTCAGAGAATGGAGCTTCTTGTTCTGAACACATTGAAGTGGAGAATGCAGGCGATTACCCCATTTTCCTTCATTGACTATTTCCTTCAGAAGATCAATGATGATGAAGCTTCAATTGGAGCTTCAATTTTGCAATCCTCCGAGCTTATACTGAGTACTGTAAGAGGTACCTGTCTGTACTCCATCCTAACTCTCTGCAGCAATAATAAATAAATGCTAGGCAAGGAAGTAGAGATGATAATTTGAGGAATGGGAATCCAATGCAGGAATTGACTTCATAGAGTTCAGACCCTCAGAGATTGCAGCAGCAGTGGCAATATCTGTGGTGGGGGACGGCCAAACAGTTCAAACAGAGAAAGCAAGTTCTGATCTGATTCAGCCTGTAGAAAAGGTATATATATATAGATATATGGTGGTGGTCCAATGACAACAAAGAAAAAGAGAGAACACACACAGATAAATGATGCTTTCCCTTTTGAGATGATCATTTTAAGTTGATTAGTTGTATCAAATGCAATTTATTGTTGGCACGGTTTAATTAATGTTTGCATTGCCCTATTTTTGTGTTGTCTCTATGGCAGGAGAGGGTGTTGAAGTGTGTTAAAATGATCCAAGCTCTGTCATCAAACGATGGTTCTGCTAAGGATTTAATTCCTTCTGTTTCTGTCGCTAGCGTGCCTGAAAGCCCAATAAGGGTGTTGAACAATGCATGTTTCAGCTACAAAAGTGATGAACCAAATGCTGCTCTTTGTGCAAATTCTTCACATACTGATACTCCAGATGCTAAAAGGAGGAAGCTAGACAAAACCTTTGGAGAATAGCCATTTGTGACTTGTGATTTTTAGCGTCATTCCTAGGATTCTTTTTCTTAAGAAGATGTTCTGTGTTATGAAGGTGCCCTCTGAAGGGAATACTGAATGAAGGAAGCAGGAAAAAATATAGTGAAAATGGAAAAAATAAAAAATAAAAAATAAAAAAGAAGAAGCATAAAGGGGTGGAAAACAAATAAAGGTGGATGGTGACTGGTGGGAGTTTTTAAGGAATGGAATCAACACACTTCATCCATGGTCGAAGCAGGAAGTGATTACTCAACACCAGCTGTTAAATATTTTATAGGTCTTTTTTTAACAGCTACAAAAGAGGTAGTAGTGATAATAGGGGAACAAGGACCAGTGTATTTGTATGTGTAAGTACATTTTGTCGCTTTACTTTTTAACGAGGGAGCAAAATAGAACCCAAAACCAAAAGGCAAAATATGAAACAAAGTAATTCAAGCATTGAGAAATATTTGCGGCATTTATATATATAAATATATACATATATATATTTTTGTCATCATCTTATTTTATTGGTTGCATTATTTAATAACGAGTTTTGCAGTTTCTGAAAAGTTCATAAAAGATAACAACAATACATATTTTTGAAGGTACAAAAAATAAATATTATTATTGTCCTGTCGCCATACGGATGCTGCTTTTGCCTCAGTGTACCCTGTCAGCATTTCAATTGGACACTTTGACCGAGTGACTGTTTAAACCATTGCATGGTTGTTTTGATAAGTTCCTTTCCACAAGAACCAAAAACAAATGTACAAAACAATAAAGCTGTCTTGTCTTCCTAAATCCTACCATGGTACAAAACTTTAATCATAATTACGATTTTTATGTGCTTAAATTTTGGTTCTTTGGGTACCAAATTGTAACACCCAGAGAAGTAATAATAATGATTACAATTTCGTAGCATTGGCATAACGCTTAGGCTTTTTAGCCTTAGTTTTAAGCATGAATTTGAAAATGATCTTGTTTAGTTTGAGTTTAAATAAAAAGTGTGCGAAAATAATGTTATTATGAATTTATACAATGTGTGGAGCTTTTAGTTTGAAAATAATGTTTACACGTTTTCATATACTTTTTTTTTATTTCTGGCAGATGAACTATATTTTATTCGATTTTATAGATTTTAAGCAATGGAAACTAAATCAATCAAGGTTGTTTAGTTAAATTTGGTTCAATTTTGACAATTTTATTGAACATATAAACTTTGAGTGATGGTGAGTTTAGTTAAACCTTGTTTATTGGACAATCATGGAGCACTCATTCAATCAAAGTTTGAAATCCTCTTTGGCCCATTTTACCGTTGCATGAAAAAATAATGAAAATTTGTTTAGGAACAACATTTTTATTTGGGTAGTTGTTATATACTTTTATTTATACATACTTAACCATAAATATTCTTTAAAAAAATTATACAATTAGATTATTCTGCCATCCTTTTTTTACTCTATTAATCTCGTCTAGATATTAATTATAAAATATATCATATAGTACTTTATTTAAAGTAATTAAATTAAACTATTATAGAAATAAAATTTTATTATTTTTCTAAACTGAAATGTCGGTTATTACATAGGTTCATAAAACGAAATAACGCACAATTGAAGATGCAACTATAAAAACAAATATAAAAGTGGATGAGTTCTTAGGCGAAAAAAGGTTTCAGAACGACGAAGAGAATGCTTTTCTTTACTATATTAATATGTCAATGAAGTAAAATTTGGAAAGGAGCAGTGCAACTAAAGTAAGACAAATGAAATTGCAGCAAATAGTTTCAAACTCCATCACTTCATAAAAAAACAACTTCTGCAGTTTTACTCTAATGTCGTTAATGAAACCAAATAATGTATGTATACTAGGTGGCCCAACTAAAGGGGCAACAGGCTATATGCCTTTGAACGTTGTAGGAAAATCCATTTCGTCCCACAAAGAACGATGACAATGGAAAATAAAAGTAGTTAACTTATATAAAAATAAGTAAATAATTTTGATAGCATTAAGGAGAAACATTCCTCTACAAAACCTAGCAATAATTAAAAGCATTATTTGTTTCCTTTATACAAGAATACCAAATATAATTAACATGCATACAAATTATTTAAATATCTTTCAAGTATATTGAGATAACATTATTATGATTAATCATTATATTTAAGATATTGTCTGTTTTGAAGTCTGAAATTCCTTTTATGGTTTTAACATTAGAAAATTAAATTGTCCTTATAATCTTAAGGTTTAAACCCTCATTTGGTCATCATATTTGTGTGTCAATCTCAAGTGGGTCATCATGTTTTTTTCGGTCTCAATCGGGTCCTTAAACTTGTTAAAATGAGCCAATTAAGCCCTCTCCGTTAATTTTTCAGTAACGTCGTTTGCCTTTGCTGAGGTGTAATCTGTTTTAGTTGACGAGGCATTGTTTATTAAATTTGATTGGTGTTGTGTTGTGTGAATAGATTGCCACGTGTGATGTGTTAGCCCTAAAAGTTAATATTTAGAGAGAACCCTGATTTCGAAAGTGTTTAACATCTCCGTTTTCGTTAGGAAGAGTTGTGGAAGCAGTGTTGAAGTGACGAAATGTCTGGTTCTTCTTCGTCTTGCAAATGCACGGGTTGGGGTTTTCAAAATAGCTTTGTTAGTGGGAGCAGGTTGGGTGTAAAACCCATTTGCTTTTGTGGTCGGCCTACAGTCTTCCGCGTTGCCAGAACCCCTAAAAACAAGGGCAAAAGATTTTGGGGTTGCCCTAACTTCAAGGTGAGTTTAATGGAAGCAGTTTTGTGAGTTATTGTATGGTTTTGATTTTCCACAGGGTGAGAGTTTTGATTTTGGTGACGAGGGAGTGTGTTTTGTTGTTCCACAGGTTGGGAGTGAAGATTTCGTTGGATGCAACTTTTTTGAGTGGTGCACTGAAGAAGTAATTGATTCTCGAAATGTGGTGAATTTAGAAGACGGTAATGCAAGTGCAAGGAATGAAGAAGTGGGTAGAAGTTTGATGAAGATGGAACAAAGTGTGATGAAGATGGAAGAAAGAGATGTTGAAAAGCTGAGAATTGGGTGTTTGGAGAAAAGTGTAGTTATTTTGGAGAAAAGGATGAAGGTTTTAATGGGGATGGTGTTTGTTACATGTGTTTGTAATGTAATTGTGATATCAATGTTGATGAAACTTGGTTGATAAAAAAGTAGATGAAAGTAGGTTTATATGAATGTAATTTGATCTTTGGAAGGATGTTTGGAATGGAATGTTGTTGTCTGCCTGTTTTAAATATAGAGTTGACTTCTTAATACTGTCTTATTTGATTAATGTAATTTCATATGGGTTGTTGTTGTTAAAGGAAGTGCAAAGGTAACATCAGAAAGCAACTTTGTTAAACATCATAAACATATGATAACGGCATGAATAAAAAGTGGATTTCATTATCATTTAAGAAAAAAACCTTATATGAACTTTGTCTTACTTAGTGCATAAGATAACAAAACAAACCTGATATTAACATAACAAAAGAAACCTGATATCATTACTTCATCAATCTTACTCAGTCAATAACATATGAAAATAAACCTGATATTACTTCATGAATCTTACTCAATCAATAACATAAGAAAATAAACCTGATATTACTTCTTCAATAGAAATTACACCAAATATGTCTTCGTGAAGTACACATAGACCAAAACAAAAGTTATACTACATTGTCTTCATCACTAAATATGTCTTGAGTAATACACATTACACAAAAAAAAAAACTAATGATACATTGGTCCTTCATCAGTACATACTAAATAAGGTTTGGAGAACGACATTCAGCTGACTCTTGAGAAATAGGCACATCTCTTGGTGGAGGGATTGTGAGTTGTGTTTGTTGAGTAGGTTGGTCAGCAGACACATCTAGTGGAGGCATAGATTGTGTTGTAGGTCGTTGTGGACATGATTTTTTATTGTGTCCAAGTTGTTTGCAAACAACACAAGTTTTTTTGCTCCCACCCTTTCTTAATTCAGTGTCATTCTTCTTCAACTCCCAAGGCTCTAGTCTTCGTTTTTTCTTGGGTCTTCCTGGCATTGTCCTCTTCTTTGGGGGTCACACATTTGGATATGAAGTTATGTCCCAGAAAAGTTGACCATTAATAGGATAAATGATGGTGTTGTAGGTCTCTTCATAAGTAGACTTCCTAAACCAATGACCAATGTAGTCTTCTGCATTTAAATTCAAGAATTTCATTGCAGTTATTGTGTGAGTGCAAGGAATTCTAGTTACTAACCACTTTCTACAACTGCAGTCCTTGTTTTCAATATTGACAACAAATTGCTCCCCAAATTGTGAAATGTGCAAGACTTCAAATAATTGATGTGATGACCATTTGTCATGAGCACAAAAATGACAACATAGTTAGCAACATGTTGTTAATGATGATCAGAAATTAAATGTGGGTGTGAACTTACTTTGGTAACCAATATCTGGTTAACCATTATTGCTTTTCAAATCTGTTGAGAACCTTAGGGCACACAGAACCTTGATATAAACCCATTTTTGTCCTGTTCGTAGCCCATCTCTTCATGATGTAAACCCTAATGTCTTCTAACATATTGATAAGTGGCTTACACCTACTACTAACTAGCACACTATTGAACCCCTCACACATGTTGTTGACAAGAGTGTTAGATTGTGATCTAGGACTGAATCTAGATCTTGACCAAAACCTGGGAGATTAAAATGTCAATAAATATAAATGTCAAAGCAAATATAACAGTAAAAGAACAATAAGGTTTGGAGAAAAGTGATTACATACCTAGGTGGGATTGCAATCAAGTATTTAAATGCGTCAACATTTATCTCTTTAATTTTCCTCATTTCAGCCTCCCATAGTTGTGGATATGTGGTTGTTGCTGCCCTCCACATCATACGTTTAAGGTCTTTTCCAGGAAATTTCTTTCTGAAGTTGGAATACAAATGTCTAACACAAAATCTTTGGTCTACCCCAAGTAGAAGATCTTGAATTGCTGGCAAAAGTTCCTACAATTTCAAATACTCATGTTAGTTGACTTATTTGTGTAGGTTGTAAAAGCACATTTGTTATGAGTGACTGACCTTTTGTTGGTATGAAATAAATGTACATGCTCCACAAACAGCTTCCCCACCAAGGTCTGCAATGAGAAGCTCCAAGAACCAAGTCCAAGAGTCTTTGTTTTCTACCTCAACAACAGCATATGCAATGGGAAGAATTTGTTCATTTCCATCTCTTCCAACTACTGTTAATAACTCCCCTCCATACTTGCCTTTCAAAAAGCATCCATCTAATCCAATGATGGGTCTACAACTAATGAAGCTATCTTTGCATGCTTTCAAGCATACATAAATTCTATGGAATATACACTCCTCATTACTATTTTAAACCTTTATTTACACTATTGAACCTGGATTTGCTCTCAGAAGTTCATGACCATAATCATAGATTCTTC